AGTATTCTTATTATATTTGTTTAAAAAATTCGTTATATCAAGAGTTCGCTATATCAAGAGTTGACTGTATGTGGTAATTTATTAATTATATTAAAAAAAAAATCTCTTTAATTTAATTGATCTTTATGAGGAATAAAGTATACTAAAAATTGATAGTGATTACTATTCTCAACAAGTTGATTTTAAATAAAATTAAAACGTTTTTAAAGTCACTTTAAAGTCTCTAAATTGACATTTTCTTCTCAACGGACAAACTGAAAGTTATCATTAAGCTTTCTATAATTCTTTTAAAGTTTTTGATTCTTGTCTTTTTCTTGAAGCAAATTTCTTTTCAGACATTTATACTTAAGAAAAATTTAGCAGTTTGATCTAAAGAAGTTGATAATTGATTTTTCAAAGTTAATATTTTGCTTAAAGATCTTCTTGAATCTGAACTTCCTTTTAAACTTTTTAACATAAACCTTTAGTTTAACAAAAGGTAAAAGTGTTAGTTATTATTGCAGTTAACTAAATAAAGTTGAATAAATCATCACTGTTGCTAGAAAATAGCATAGATTATGTATATTTAAAGCTTATGTCAAGCCAGCACATGTCTTATATAATTAAAAGTTTTTAGATCAAACTATTTTTAAATCTACCTATCTTATTTTGAGAAAATTTTCACTTTTAAATTGCTTATATTGAGCAGAACTCTAGTATCAAGAGGAAAGAGACTTCTTTTTATTTATGTGAGTCATTTTTAAAAATATTATGAATTTAAAAATCTGCAATAATTTTGCTTAGAAGATGAAATTTTTTGTAAAAATATTGGAAAAAATATTTATAGATAAAAGACGCATATAAAATATTTTTTTTATCGTGAAAAATTTTCTTTTGCAGAAAAATAAACATTAAATTATTAATCCAAATTGTTATTGATAATTACATAATATTTTAAGAAATACAAATGCATTTTGTCAATAATCACATAATATTTGCATAACATCTTTTTGATCAATATTTCTTATTTAATACAAATTTTAGAAATTTTTAGTAAACTGCATAATTTTGAAAGTTTAATAAAATGTATGCAAAAAGAATCAAGAAATATGAAAATATTAGTTTTCCTAAAAAAGAAATTATTCATAATAATTACATAGTTTATATATTAAGAAACAGTTCAACAGTATAATTAGTTGATCAAAAGATTATTTTAGATTTGTATTTAGCAACTCAATGAACTTGTCTGATATAGAGAAAGATTAATATATTATAAATGAAGATTATTTTATATAGTAAGGCCTATGATTAAAAATTAATGTGAATGACTTAAATATAGTAGGATATTTTGAAAATTTTTATTTTTTATTATTTTATTTATTTATTTTATTAGATAATTTTAAAAGGATAAAAATGCAACGATGTGTAAAACTTTATTGAAAAATAGAAAAATAATAAAATACATCAATATAAAAGAAAAAGAAAATACATTTAAAAGAAGCTACCTATGATAACTATTACTAGCTATAAAAGATAAAGAGAGATAATATAATCTATATAACAGTCAAAAAGATGATAGCAAAGTGTAGTTTTATGACAGATAAAAATGCTAATGACATCTTTTCTAATAGTAATATTTAGTAATAAATTAATTGTTAAGAAGCACGTGATAAAAAAAATTAAACTTTGACTTTCTGTTAGAGTTATTCTAAAAGTCTTCTAAAGTTTCTATATTATTCTGAAAATTTTGAACTGATTGGACATCTTCATAACTTTGGTAATGATCAATATCAGCTCTTGCATAATTGTATTGAAATAGAAAGCCTTCATATTCTACTTCAAGATCTCGATATTGATGCCTATGATGAGATAAATAGAAAAATAAATGGTTAATCTTATTAGATAAATTGTTAACTTGAGACAAAGAAGAATTTAATAGTTATCAAAGTCTGTAATTTTCAATATTAAGTTCATCTACTCTTTGCTGTCTTGTTTATTCTTCTTGATTTCAAAGGTTGTATTAATAGCATGAGAAAAATTACTTTTGAAAACTTTTGCCTATGTTGAAAATATAAAAGTTATAAATTTTGCAATAGTTTTAGTAAAACTGATAGAATTTGATAAAAATCAGAAGAGATTTTTGGATAACAAAATATTGTGGCTGTAAAATTCTCAAGACTGTGAGAATTTCCTTTCTACAAAAATATAAACAAATAATTATGGGTCTATTTTATTGATTATTATCATATATAATTACGTAATTGATCGATTAAAATTAAAAATTTCATGAAACAAATTGAAATAATTTAGAATTTTTGTAGAACAAAAATCTTAAGAAGGAAGTTATGTTACAGGGTAATAATTATATGATTTACATATAATTTTCAAATGTGACGTAATACAAATGTTAAAAATATCAATATTAAACATGTTTAACATATTAAACATATTAAATATATTTAATATAGTTAATATGTTTAATATATTAGATATATTTAATATAGTTAATATATTTAATATGGTCTGGTGCAAAAAGGTTGATACACTAAAATCATTACACAAATTTCTCTTATGATACAAGATTTGATAATCAAATCCGGCG